GTAATTACAACACCCTTAGCTAACCACCTAGTGTTTTTAATACTCCTTTCCTAGAGTGACTCAGTTAATAACCAGCAGTGGTCAAAGAGCCTGCAAAAAGGACTAGTCTGGTGCACCGAGAGGGCCTCTTCTGCAAAGGCAGAGCCCAATCCCTCCCGACCTCAACTTGTAGCCTCTGTGTCAGAAACATAGACCAATCCAGAGGCTCCTAAATCTACCTGCATTCTAGAAAGAAGCTTTTTGAAATATAGATTCTTGTCTCCATTAAAGCAGTGAAAACTACAATCTCACAGTTTAACCTGAAAAATTGTATTTTAAAAGTACCCCAGATGACGCTGTTGTACCTGCAAATACACAATATAAAAACTATTACTCTTCATTCACAAAAATTTGACTCACATTGGCTTTGTGCATCACAGATACTCAAAACTGTGAATCAGAACACTGCAAATAAAGTATTTCCTTTAAACCATGAAAATATATTCTATGGTTAAAATCATTATAGAGCATAAGGATGAATTCAATGATTCTTAGATACCACAGCAAGAACAGAAAAAAACATTGTAATACACAAGAACTAAAAGCAAATTCAAAGGAAAAGCACAGGAGATGGCTCTGTACCATTTAGGCAAATGAATAGTATTATCAGTTCACAGTTAGGATAATGTGTTAATTTTCAAAATACACATTTGACTTCAATGCTCCTAAGTCACCTTCAGGAGTCGAATAACTTTTTCTTTTCTTATTTTGGTGATCTCCATCCTTTAAGAGCCAGCTATACCACACACAGAGATGCTGGTTTATCTTAAGCAGCCTCCACAGAAGGTCTCCTGGTCTTTGCGACTTCCATTTGAACCACACATGCAGATTTTATTTATAACTGTGCTTTTGATCAATGTACATAAAATTCTTGTGATGCCCAGGAGAAAGGGACAATCGTATCGCAAAGGAAGAAGACTCAAAAGACTTCCCTTTCCCTCAAATACTGATTATCCTTCCAAACAAATCAACTTTAAGACATTTTTTATAAGCCAGGTACAATTTCATTCTTAAAAGCTTACTTCCATTTTTGATGGACTGAAACATGCATGTGTTGGAGAAATATATTTCTCAGAACACTGAGATCTTACTGAAATTTAAATTAGCTATTATAGTAGCTCTCAAGGGAAAACCCCATATCCACTGAGAAAAAAGGAATTAAGATATACAAATAAGGAGAATGCTTCTTCCATGTCATTACAGTGTGGATTCCTTATTCAGTCCCATGTGAACAGTCTTATGGTGGTTTTCTGACCACTGGATTAAGGTCCCTCTTGATCTCAGTTTTCTTTGGTGATATAATCAATTGACACTGAAATCCCAAATCTCAAAGAGAAACTGGTTTGGTTTCAGGGTTTGCGAATTAGGTGAGGTTTGTTTTTTTGTTTGTTTTCTTTCTTCTTGTAATTAAGAATGGAAGACAATAAAGATGTTTCCTAGAATGTCACCACTTAACACTTGGGCATAACATTTTATCAACTAAAAATTGCTTACATGCTGACATTATTTAAGCTTCACAATTCTTTGAAGCAGTTGTCATCATTCCCACTTTACTGATGAGGAAACTCAGGAGAGATAGTTACTTAACAAAATACACAGCTAATTCCTTCCCTGTATTGAATGGAAGAGTGGAACCCAAAACTTCTGGCTCTAAATCTAGCGCTGGGATTGGAGAGGAAGCCTTTGCATGACTCCACACCCCACTCTCCACATGCTCCAACCCCGGTGTAAACATCAGCTCCAGAACAGTAGATCATCTAAAGCACAGGTCAGAAAACAGATCCAAATCCAGCCCCACTGCCTGTTTTTGTAGAACCCATGGACTAAGAATGGTTTTTACATTTTTAAGTAATTAAAAAAAGGAATACTTAATGACATGTAAAAACGATATGAAATTTGAATTTTATCGTAAACAGTTTTATTGGAGCACAGTCTCATTCATTTAGGTATTGTTTATGGTTGCTTTTGCACTACAGCATCAGAACTGAGTAGTTGCAACAAAGACAGCATGGTGGGCAAGGTCTAAATATTAACTACAATATCTGGCCCTTTATGGAAAGTTTGTGGACCCCTGATCTAAAGGATGCTTGTCATTTTATGAAAGCTACTAAGTTCTTAGCATGGGTAAATCAAAAACCTGCCTTCCCTAATCCTAGCTGCTGGAGATACAGGGAGTAAATCTACGCTATCTTTCAACTAACAGTAGATCTTCCAACTTTGGAAAGCTGATGCTTCACCCCATCTTATCTAGGCTCTGACACCTTATTTTTTATTCACAAGGCATAATTACAATAACCATTTAAACATTTATTATGGACCTATTACCATGTACCAGGTACATCCTAAGTGTTAGAGATCTCATTTCTTTTTAGGTGAGAAAACAAAGGCTTAGCAACAAGGTAACTTGCTCAAGTTCAGGTAGCTATTGCAGACCTCTGCTCTTACCATATCACTTTACTTCAAAAAACAAGACTTTGAACTTCCTCTTTGGTCAATACATGTATATCTCTCTAGAATGGTGGAGTCTGAGGCCAAATGTGCAACTTCCATTTTGATTTAGGCAGAACTGGACAAAACTGGGCAACTCATGTCCCAGGACCTGGCTACTCGTACCTTCCTGCTCTCCCCAGACTTGCCAAACAGCTGGTCAGCCTGTAGTGTTCATTTACAACTGTGTATCATTTCTGCCTCACAAATAATACTGCCTTGGTTAAAAAAATACAATTCTGTATCTTTAGAAAACAAACCAGACCTTGTGGAGGCGTGTTAGATCACTTCAAATACAAGATAACCATCACTAACTGAGTGTTCACTATGGGAATTGTGGCTATGCTTTACATATTTTTTCATTTAAACTTCACAATTCTATGACATAAGCATTGATCTCAATTTTACAGATGAGGAAACTGAGCCTTCAAGGTAAATTTACCCAAGGTGACAGGGCTGGAATTCACTGTTTTCTGACTTCAAAGCCAGGCTCTCAACCACTATGCAGAACTTTCAAATATCAATTTTCAATCATAATACTGTCATAGTGTTTCCTACAAGTAAAGGAGAGCTTGAAAATTTACCCTGATACTGCCCACCATATTATTTACTATCACCTTAACTATACTGCTATATTTTTCTTCAAAACTAAAACAAAACCCAGAATCAAAAGTTCAACTGTGCAAGTGTATTGTTCCTTTGCAACGTACCTATTTCTTCCCCAACAGAGGCTCTTGTAGGGCATGAACCATTCTAATACCTCCTTATCTCTCCCTATGAAACCTCCATAGGACAGGCATTCAATAAACATGTTGAATGAACAGAAACACTGTATAAAATGTGACTTATAAATGAATTCTACCAAGAAAGGGGTGGGTAGAAGATAACAGAATAAGCAAAGAAAGAAGTAAATTTAGTTCATTATACACTAGTGGTAAATGTCTTGCTTTCAGGATCATTTTTATACACATAAGATACAACTTATGTATAAGGTGCTACAAGTGTGCTAACTTAACTGATTATGTATTTATAATCACAAAAACAAAGAGTGAATATGCAAGCCTAAACTATTAAAGAATAATCTAATGGAGAAACCAAAACTCCTCACGTCCTCGTGTTGTGGACTTTCCCAACGGTCTGTCTTTGCCTGGAAGACATTCTGTATCTTAGCCTCTACTTCTGGGCCTTCCCCATACACTTTCCTTCCTAGAAGGGAAGTCTTGAGAACAGGGGGATTTTCCCCCCCTTTACAAGCCCAAATGATCCAAGAGAGTATCTTGAATACAGCAGGGCACTGCTACTGTGCAAAATGATTGAATAGAATGGAACATTTTCAGCCAGCTAAGGTACACTGACCACATACAATTTAAGGGAAGGCAACAATCTTACCATTAATTCTACAGAAGGCAGCCTCCTCCTGAGAACTTTTGCCAACACTTGCTTTTAAAAAATAACAAAAAGCTGCTAGAAGGCTATCCTTGTTGGCAATAGAGCTCCATTCTGTGCCAAAAGCAATAATACACCCACAGGAGAAGACACCTCAGAGGGATCACCTGGTATTTATTAAGGGTTCGTTCACAAGGGCCAAGGGACTCTGCTTGTTACAGACTCTTACTCTGGTCCCTAAACCTGAGGTCCCTAAACGCCATCATAAAGGTGAATCCAGAGTATCCAGAAGTTTTAAGTCTCTTAAGAAGACATATTTAAAAATATACATGACACAGAGGAATCGCTTATCCAAAAGAACAGAAAGCCTTCCAAGCATCTGTACTCCCAGGAAGTCTACTCTGAAATACGTCAAAAAGTTACATCGAGGGATACAAAATATGTCTAAAGATCCAGACTGGTAACTCCAAAACTTGAAGTTGAAGCTGGCAAAACCACTGCCCATAACTAAGAGTTCTGATTGTGCCCCTTCTTACTTGCAACGCTGCGGCGCAAATGAATGACGGTGTATCAGCGTTAAATTTAAATTTCCTGGCTCTAGCCACAATGCTAACCTAATTAAAGCATGTGGTCAACGTTTAGCATTTTCGGTGCGATATTCTGCATCGCTTTGGCCAGCAGAATCGACAGACAGTTGCACTCTTCCTCTCACCCCCTCTTCAAAAGCCGAAGGCAAAACCCTCTCCAAAATGCTCTATTAATGGACAGGAAAAGCACCCCCCACAACGCCCACAGACCCCGCCAAGCGGTAACGGGGTCTTCACACCCATCACCCTCGCCAAGAACACTTTGGGCTCAGTCTGAGCAAGTCACTCGTGCAAGCGCTACTTCCCCACGGCCGGGACCCCCCCCCTCACACACACACACACACACACACACACACACACACACACACAGGAGCCCGACAACTCCGGGGAGCACCCCCGACCCAGGGCCCCCGGGGCAGCGTGGCTCAGGATCCCCTCGCACACATTTCCCGTCCAGCAAACTGCGGCCGCGGAGGGGGAGGGGAGGGGGAGGGGAGGTACCTCGTACAGCTCCTCGGAAGCCATGGTGGGCAGCGGAGTTGCGGGCAGGCGGGAGGGGCAGGGTTGGGGCGAGGCAACGCCGCCGCCGGGCGGCCGACACTTTGTTTCAGTTGGGTCCCTGCGTGGCCTGCGCTTCCTGCTCCAGCTCCCGGCGCCGGGAGCTCAGCACGGACGAGCCTCTCACACTCACTGCCAGTGCGGGCCGGCGGCCGCGGCGGGGTTGTGCGCAGGAGCAGCTGCGCAACGCGCCCTCCGCTCACTCCCCGGCGGACGGGCTCGGGCTCATCGCGCCCCGCCGCGGGGCCAGGCTGGGGCAGGCGCGGCGGCGGTGCACGGCGGCGCGGCTGGCTCCGTGGCTCCCTCTCCGGTGTAGTGCAAAAAGCTTCCTACTTGCGACCAAAAAACCTGCCCCGGCTACTGAGCATGCCCAGTGAGGCTGCCCGGGCCCGGCGGAGCCGCGCTCCCGCGTTCCGGGTTTTCGGGCCGCCCGCCCGGGAGAGGCGGGGAGGCCGGCGGGGCGGGGCAGCCAAGAGAAGCAGTGGGCTCTTCTCCCGGCGAAGGCGCAGGCAGGCGGGTGACCGCTTAGAGTGAGCCGGCAGGAAGGGGAGTGGCCATGGGGCGGTGGGCGGGGTTATGGCGAGGTGTGGGCGGGGCTGCGGGAGAGGTGGGCGGGGCTCTGACTTCCCCAAGTTCCCTCGCGGAGGTCCGACCCAGCCCAGGCGCCTCTCGCCTGCACCCCCTCGACGTGGGTGCTGGGTCCCGGGGCCCAGTACCCACTGGGGCAGGCATCTGCGGGCCCGAGGTTGAGCAGGGGACCGTGGCTGTGAGCCAGCCCGCGTCTGAAGTCTACTGCCCCGACGGCAGCGGCCGTGCGGGCACACGCATGGCCTTTCTCCTGGAGAGCAAAGAGACCTCACCTCCCAGCGCCCTCCGCGGTCACCCGTCCCGGGCCAGGCCAGCCCACAGAGGACTAGCGGCGTGGCCAGGTGGAACACCCCGCCCTACCACGTGCCCGCCTCCCTGGCGGCAACCGCCAACACCCGGAGCCCGGACCACGTGCCCCGCGGCGTGGCCCGGCGCGCTCCGGAGAAGCTCGCTCCGCGGCAGGCTAGGGGTGGGAGCCGGGGGCGGGAGCCCCGCGCAGGCGAGGGCGGTGCGAGGGCGCGGCTGCCTCAACTCTGCCCGCAGCTTCCCCCACGCCGGGCCTCCCAGTTCCTCCTCTTGGAGCATCCACCTCCTCCGCAGGGGAGCTGGGAGGAGGGGCCTGAATCTGGACTCCCGGGAGGTCTGGGTTCTAATGGAATGAAGCTGTCAGTGGTGGTCCTCCTTGGGGAAACGGTGTGGACAACTACACAACAGGATCTCTCGGTCAGAACAGCGATGGGCTGGCCTTTTCTCCACTTCACAAGGGAAATGGGCAAAGTGGGGACGGCCAGCATGGCTAGCTTCCAAGGCACACCTGCCGGGAGACTGGACGTTTCCCCATGCGTGTGGAATGAGGAAGGGGCTTCCTAGCCCGACTCGCCCAAACAGCCGACAATTCCAAACCTTCCTGCTGCGGAACTTCTCCGCGGGGCACTGCAGAGACATTTTTCACAGTCTCTCCAACCCCCTCCACCTGGAAGCCACCGTCAAATCCTACATTTCTCCCAGTGCATCCTCTTCTGCCACCCTGTTCCTGGTGCTCTACCCTGCTCTAGTTCCTAACCGACCTCCCAGTCACCAGGCTCCTCCCACCAGTTTTCTTCCTAAAACCCCTTTCAATTGTGCCCCGAATATACAATTTAACAACCACAAGGCTTTTCACAGACCCCGCTGAGTTTCCTGCTCTCCCCGCGCCCAAGAACGAGCATAACGCTTGCTTGTTAATTCCTTTCAAGTCGAGTCACCATCGTTCTCTTAGTGCCGGTGCCTCTACCTGCAATTCCCTCTGCTTTGGAATGTCCCTTTCAACCTTAAACTCTAGCTCCGACGTCACCTCAAAAGCATAGTCTTCTAGCTTCCAGGGCAAAATAAGTTACTCCCTCTCCAGTGGCTCCTAAAGCACCCAGGCGTGCTCCGTGGCGGCACTTATCTCAGTGTATTTTAACTGCTTTGTCCACTCTGCTCTCCCACTTCCACTTCAAGACTATGACTTCCCAGATGGCATCTTCAAATTTGACTCTTCAGCCCCTGGCACCATTCTCTACATACAAAATAAGTTTTTGTTCAATAAATTGGATCCCGGTGTCCAAAATAAAGCCCGATACGCACACATCCAAATCCCATTTTTAAATGCTTTAACAGCAGAATCATAAATTAAAGTCCCCATTTCCTTTGTCAAGGCTCTCCCAAGTTCTGCCTCTCTCCCTGACGGCCAAGCCAATTCTCTCTCCCTCCTCCAAATATTAGCGCCTCTTTCCTCTCACTTAGCAATTTCATTATTTGCTGCATTTGATTATTGTCTCTCTAGGCACACAAATTCATCAACGTAAGTTGTAAGCTCCTTGAAGGCAAACACTAGGACTTTATCTGCGAGGTCTCAAATCAATTAGTGCACACTACTGAAAAACAGTGCTCAAATACTTGCAGGAAATTGTTAAAAATCACAAGCATAATCAAATGTTAATAAGAAAAAAGGAATCCTCAATATGAAATGAACAGGCATACCTCAATATAAACCTATATACAATGATAGACTGATATAAACATTTCTTTTTTTCTCATGGCTGTCATTAAGTACATAATTTGTTATGCATTCACAAGTTGCTCCACGGTATGCTTAATGGCTGTAATATTAAATATATTGTCTTTAAAGACTCCAATACTACCACTATTATCAGGGGAAGGGAGGAAGAAACAGGGATAGAAAGATATCCACAACAACCATAGTTATTAAGCTAGTAATTTGAGAGTATATACAATCATAGGGAAAGGTGACTTTCCCCATTGTGGGAAAAAAAGGGGGCAGGGTAAATTACAGCCTAAAAAAGTTAACTCCAAAAAGTTAATGTACATGGATGGACCTTTAATCCTGATGACCTAGCTTATTTATGATGCTATAATTACTCGTCAACATTAAAAGAGTATCCGCTGGGTAGAGATCACCTGCATAACAAAGCAGGAGTAAGCCATTCTCCTAAGCTTAGCTCCAGCTATGTCTCCCCACCAACAATTAGCTGGTTTCCATCTTAATTAAGATCACTGGCAGAGGAGACTGATACTAAGGTACCCAACTAGTGACTGAGATATTAAGCAAGCCCTCAAATGTCCACTTTGTTCCTCTCATCTGCCCTCTCCCTAAAACACCCACCAATTTATTGAATGCTATTTTGCTTATGTTTATATTTTACCTCATTAGTTCAATCTGTCTTACTTTTAAGCAAATTCTGCTTCCCTCACTTTTTTATATAAACATTTTATCAGTGTTCATCATAGAAGTAAATATGTCCAAGATTTTTTAATGGCTTTGAATTTATACCACCTTTTATGAAATAGTGAAAATTTGCAGTAGTTACCATGACCACATGTGTGGGTGCTGTGAAAGTACTTTCTCAGTAAATTGAGAATAAAAGTGAAATCACATTCCCTAAACACATCAAGATAGCTGCATTGTACCAAAAATACAGGCAACACAATAGTATATACTAATAAAATATATAAATCTTAGTGATTATGAAAGTAATCAACAAGTGAGATGACATACACATGTGATTAAAATACTACATACCTCTGGGCAATAAGCTTCAACTCTTACCTTCTGTGAGCCAGTGGTGGAGACCAAAATAAACCGGTTTACTCCTTTTCCAAATTTACTCGAACAATTGGTAATAGACACTCAGTATCAGTCAAGGTAAGGCTCCAAGTCAAGAGTCAAAGCTGTTTCCCGCTCTCAGAACAAAGACTAATATCTTAAATTAGAGGTACACCTCTTTTCCCATTCAACCGCCCAACCAGTCACTTCTTTCATTTCTCCAAGAATTTGCATTCCATCTACATTTGAATTCAAAGGCCCCAGAGAGGAGATGGGGGATGGGACAGAAGAAGCCAAAATCTAGCAACTACTACCCTCAGAGCCAAAGGTATTTTTAGGTTGGGTGACTATGGAGAAGCTGCCAATAAAGCTGCCCTTCATCAATTTTGCACCCCAAAAGCATAATCTGTTTTGGCTACCTCCTCCAAAATCCAAAATTTAACTGTGGTTTTTACGAAGAAGTGATCTATGTTTGTTTGTTCACACTGTGGCCAAAGAAAAAATAAAATACCATTCTTGTTATAGAGTATCCCCTCCACAAGACTTAGGGAAATTCCTATCTCAGTCACCCACTCAGAAGAAAGTAAGAAAATGTCAAGCCTGAGAAGCGAAAGATGAATTCAGATGCTAGGCCCTTTTCTGAACTAGGAGCCACCCCGCTTTTCCTTCCCTGAAAGCTTAAATCGCATACCCGTGCCCTTTTCTGGACAGCCAATGACCTCTGATTCCTAGTTTCATCTTCTGCTTCCTTCCATGGCCAAATAGTCAATTTCCCCATTTCAACTGGCAGCCTCTCTCTGCCTGCATCCATCTTTTCCCAACTATTACTCTCTTCTGTGGAAGCTAGTACCTAATCCAGCTGCCACACTGCTGTTTCTTGGCCAAATGAGACCATTTATTTAATCTCTTTGCCCAAGTGATAGCAACTCTGAGACTTCTTCATGTTTGATTTCACCAATTTCCTCTTAGGCTGAGGTTCCAACATTGCCAAAACCTCACCTATTTACAATTAAGCATAGTTTTCTTTCTAACTAGATTGAGTTTAACTGTAGTTCTTTTTTCTATTTAGCTAAGGTGATTCTACCAAAAGAATCCTAGTAATATGTATTTGTTGCACTTTCTTTTGATTAATTTATCAAGACAGAGGAAGTTTTTCATTTTTAACTTTATACATCACCCCACCTTCTGAAAAGAGAAAATAATCAAAAGTCTTAAAAAGTAAACAGCCTCAAGATACTGCCGTGACATTCTGGCCGACTTTACACCAGAACAGTAGCAACTAATTAATTTTGGGCTCCTGAAAAAACATCAAATATAAATGTCCCTTGAGTTACTGTGATGAATATTTACATTTGTCACTCAAGTGAGACATCCCAGTAACCTCATTTCCTTCTGGTCTTTGAGAGGAAAGAGGGAGAGAGAGAGATTATCAATAACAGAGAAACTAGGCAGATGAATGTGGACAACCTGGCTGGTAAGGAAAACAGGAGCACCAGGTCCACCAAAAGCTGTGGAATCCAGAATTAGCGCAGGACCAGGGCAGGTAGAAGTTGAATGTAAAGAGCAAATTAATCTGAAAATAAAGCTGTGGCCACATGAGCACATGGAGAGATGTATTGGGGCTTAATTTTTTTCAGTCACTAGTATTGTCTGTGCAGAGGCCCTGTATTTGTGATCCCCAGATGAGCAGCAACAGCTTCACTTTGAAACTTATTAGAA